TGCTGAAAGGAAGCACAACTGGCTGCAACACTTGGTCTCTGTACTGCACGGCGTTCAGGTTTCCCTGTATAATTACTAAATCAGTCTTCTGATCTCCACAAATACCGCCCCACACCATGACACCTCCCCCGCCGAATGGATGGAACTCTCGAATACACGCCGGAGCCAAACGTTCCCCTCTGCGTCCATAAACTCGTTCTCTGCCGTCATTTCGAAACAAGTTAAACCGACTTTCAGTTAACAGCACTCGACGCCAATTTCTCACTTGCCAGCGTCGAACCTGCCTCGCCCATCGCAGTTTCAGGCGTCGATGTTGAGCAGTCAGTACCATTCCTCGGTACTGTACGTTGGCTAATGGGATGTCCCAACGCTGTTGCTGCCGTTGCCGTTACGAATCTGTTTCGCAGGTGAATGAGCCGTATCTGGCCGTCTTCCAGTGGTGTTGTCACTCGGGGTCGTCCGGTTCTAGGCCTGTCCTGTGTCCTCCCTGTCTGCCTGTACCGTTGAATCAGCCTGGCTACTTTCAATGGTGTACAACCAAACCTTCTGGCAATTTGGACCTGTGTTGCCCCCATTTCGGCCCTACCGATGGTTCTCTCTCTCTCTGCTCCTGGGATTGTCGTGGCATTTATTTTGTGTTTCTTTTGTGTGCAGAGGCGGGAAACCTGTTTCACCATTTTTTTGTCACCGCGCGAGCGCCGTCAAAGGTGGTGCGTTCGGGTGAGGTGTCTTTTGGTACCTGTTCCTGGGCATTATCTCTCGTGTTTATCGGTTAACAAAAGCGGCATAAGCATTTCCATTATCATAAGAAACCCTTGACCAAAGTAGAGCCAACTGCACGATTCCGACAACATCAGAAGCATGTGTCATGATTCACCATCAAACAATAATGACACTGGGTGCTCGCAAAAAGGCGAGCTCATCCCGATAAACTGGTGGCACCGCCACAAACACATGCAAAGGCAAGCCAATTGTTCACCCGAAAAGGCACGGGAACACACAGTACAAGTCAAAATAGAGAATTGCATCAGACAGTATGCAATTGTTCATTGTTCATTGATACGTCAAACCTGGAAATGTCGTCTACATGTCGAAAACAAAGACCAAGCCAGGACCCGAATCCTTTAAACCCGACCAAACAACCCCCTGATCATGAGCACGACGCTTACCGAAATCCAAAGTTCTGATAATTACATACATTTTCCCCTAACCTAAAGTAATCTATGCTAGTTCTGAAGTAAATCGTATTTACCCAGATGAATCGTCTTATGTCATGTATTGTCGATAAACAGAATATGCACACGTTCTGAAAGTAATGTTGGATAAGACACGCACAAAACCTATGCTCTCGATACACATGTTGCTCTTACATTGAAACTATTTGGTTAACAAGATGCGTGTATCAATGTGCCATGCTTTCCTGCTGTGCTATCATTCTAATTTGAAATAATGACAAAAATAGTTACCACTCATCTTTCAATATTTTCAAGGTTGGGTTAATCACTAACATATTTTAATATTTACAACAGCTATACTTACTTATCTTTAATTTGATGATGTGATCATTTCTAAATAAAAGACCCTACTAATTTCACTGAACTATTACCAGAGCTGACTCATCCCATGTATGGATGAAAGGACATTTTTACATTCACCACAATTTCTATGTACAATGAATCATAATTTGGCTCAGGACACTGTGTAAAAGATGACAATCACAAGAAAACGTTATATGAAGAATTTGTTTCAACTAGCTCAACTCAAACATTATACTTAAAAGCATCAGGTGTGTCTGTCATACAGACCCTGAGACAACTATGTCTTATACAGCCCAATATTTGGCAAAATTAAGAACGTCTCTTTGCTCCTTTTTATTATATTTTATAACTATTATTTAACAACTGGGGTTTTTTTTAAATAAGTTCATTTCATAGATTAAATGTTATCCTAGCATTAGGTCTGTGGTACGTTCACTGCATCAGTGTTGACATTAAAACGATATTTACATATATAAATACATACAGAGGAAATGCTTAGCATTTATCTTTAAGGAAGAGTGAAGGACTGGCTTAATACATATATACATTTGGATGAATTTAGATATACCTCCTTATAGATAGTGATCGTAGATGATTGTAGAACGTGCATAAAGAAAATGGAATAATTATGGGAGTAATCGGGTTAATACCACGTTTAACAATATTCAGCCATATTGGGATATTGGGATATTGGCTTCCAACATACAAGACGGACCATGAAATCATGACTTGAATTTTGACCTGGCTTTCGGGTATGATGTAACACCCCATAGTCCCCTGTGGGAAAAGAGCTAAAAGCACGAATAAAGATCGCGAGATGAAACTGATGTATACAGGGCATGTGATTTCCGTCAAAATAGGAGTACTATTGATCATTTAGTTCTATTAGATCCTTTGTTAAAAATGCTATAGTAAATAAACAACACGTAGTATCAGTTTTCTTTGATCTTGAGAAAGCCTATGATACTACCTGGAGCCATGACACTTTAAAGTATTTACATGATTGCGGCTTGAGAGGTCGTTTACCTCATTTTATATCAGAGTGGGTACAACCCTGTCTGATCATTATTATCAGGATCAGGGTGTCCCACAATGCAGTATTGTGACTGTCAATTTAGTATTAAAATAAATAGTTTTTCAAAGGTTTTTTTAAGTGATTCAGTAGATGGATCACTTTTCGTGGATGATCTTAATATTTCTTTTCGTGGTAAAAATATGTATACCACAGAAATGCAGTTACAACTTAAACTAAATTCTCAATAAAATTCACAAGTGGCCCCTTGAAACTCAAAAACTTATTGTATTTATTTCTGCAAAACATATAAACCACATAAGGACCGTGAACTAGTTTTTAGTGGTGCGCCTATCAAAGTGGTGATGTTTTGGGGACTTTTGGGACTCTATCTAACTTTCGTACCGCATATAATACCTTTAAGGTAAATGTCTGAAGGCACTCGATTTGTTGAAAGTAGTTTCTAATTCAAAGTGGGGAGAGGATCAGACAACCCTTTTACACGTGCACAGGTCACCGATCCGTTCCAAACTTGATTACGGCTCCATCGTCTATGGTGGAGCATGTAAAAGTAATTTACAAAAAGAAGATACTATCCACCATGCAGGTCTGAGGATTTGCCTTGGAGCCTTTATAACTTCTTCCATTCGAAGTCTGTATGTGGAAGCGGATGAGCCTTACACAATGCTATCTGAAATTATCATTTCAATATGACATCAATCAAATCCTGTTTTTGATTGTGTTTTTAATCCTCTTTATGAAAACATTTACAATAAAAAATCATCTCTGCTTCCACCACTTAGAATAAGAATAAAATTTTATCTAATACTAAACTTTAAGCTATAGCCCCCAGCCAACTTTTGTCATCGCCTACCAGGCAAATGGTAAAGCCAGAGGTGGAACTTACTTAACTAAACGTAAGAAATCAGAAACAAACCAACTCATTTACCAACAACAACATAATCAATTAAGAAACACTTATGACACTTACAATTCTATAGTTAGAGATGGATCCAATGATGGTGGCGCAGCTGCTAGTGCTACCATCACGGGATCCAGAACAATTCTATATTTAGAGATGGATCCAATGATGGTGGCGCAGCTGCTAGTGCTGCTATCAATGGATCCAGAACAATTCTATATTTAGAGATGGATCCAATGATGGTGGCGCAGCTGCTAGTGCTACTATCACTGGATCCAGAACAATTCTATATTTAGAGATGGATCCAATGATGGTGGCGCAGCTGCTAGTGCTACTATCACTGGGTCCAGAACAATTCTATATTTAGAGATGGATCCAATGATGGTGGCGCAGCTGCTAGTGCTACTATCACTGGATCCAGAACAATTCTATATTTAGAGATGGATCCAATGATGGTGGCGCAGCTGCTAGTGCTACTATCACTGGATCCAGAACAATTCTATATTTAGAGATGGGTCCAATGATGGTGGCGCAGCTGCTAGTGCTACTATCACTGGATCCAGAACAATTCTATATTTAGAGATGGATCTAATGATGGTGGCGCAGCTGCTAGTGCTACTATCACTGGATCCAGAACAATTCTATATTTAGAGATGTACTCAATGAAGAAGGGAGGTTAGTTGATTTTGCCGGAGCAAAACAGGACTTGTATTTTTTACTTAACTGCCATTAACATTTTGTAGTATTGTGTAACTTAACTTAAACAATGGCTCCTTTGTCTTTGGCCGGGTATCAACTGACTAAATTATCAGTCAAACACCACTTGGCAATGGCAATGGCGGAACATTTATGACATTAGAAGCCAATTCTGGAGCCTGAGAATGTATAATTTGGCCATGCTTACCTAGCTGTGACATGTTCATTTGTTTGTGATTAACATTTATGAAACGACTTTTGAGAATTCGGGTATCGACTTGTCACGCCGTCCTCTTAATAGTCACATGAGCAACACGTGTCCACGGGAGCGTAGTCAATTTTATCGTCATGGCCACCACGTGCACATCACCCTGTAACAGGCCAAATATGTTTGCCCAAATTCTGTGCCCCGCCTACTTGTCTCAAACGCGTTTTGTAAGTAAGTTCAACTTATCCTGGATTACCAGTAGGTGCTTAGGTTCTTAAAATGAATGTTAGCCATGGCTAAAATAGGTTAGCCCACTCGGAGTTCTGTGGTTGGTCTTTGAAATTGCGTTAAACTGACCATTTCAACGATAAAACATCATATGTTATTTCCCACCTGTATTGGTTGTGTCAGTGTTATTTTCTTTGATTTTAGCAAATTATCAACAGCGAGCGCGGAATTACCAAGAAATGAGGATTTATATAAGTGTACAGTAAAACTCACGACAGGCATAGTAAATATACTATTGTGGTTATGACGAGAATATTAGTAAATATCACTTATTAAATTAGGGGAATTTACCAGTAGTTCTTTGAAAGATGGATAGTCACATCAAATGATTAGTAAATTTACTAATCTACGATCGGCCATCTACTAGTCTAATTAGCAAACATTTACTAACTGTAGTGAAGTTTACTCACATTTTGGTGTCTGGGTGGACAGTGAAATTCACTAAGTTAGTAAACTATTTCTGTCAGTTCACGGTGAGGTGTACGTATTTGTCATTATTTTAATAACCCTTTACCATCTAACTGACTGTATAGTTCGTCACCATGTTGGGCACCTCGCACTATGAATGAAAAACAAGGGACATGCTGATTTTAAAACTTGATCCACATATTTATCCCTTAATGGTGTATGCCAAGTTTCAGCGCTGTATATGGTTCATGGCGGTTTTCGAGAAAATCTGTACAGTTAAACAATGGCCAAAAGCATAAGGCAAAAACCACAACCATGTAGAATAGTAATTACCGATGCCGGGTTGATCTACATAAATGTCAAGCGTTTGAGTGCCATTTAGAAGTGATATACATAAGAGAGCGAATTAATGTCAACTTCTTTATTATGAGGAACACAACGCTCCGGAGTATATGCTTACTCCTTCATCTGGTGAATGAGTTCAACGTTGGCACAGAATTTAATATTGATAAAAAGCAAGGTTGGGCTCAATCATCCGTAACAGTCAGCATGCGGTGACTGTACAGTGAAAGTGTAATGTAACTCCCCTACAGCAAGACTAACATTTGAGTGAGATTGGAAAGTACCTTCAACCATCCCCGAATGAATCATCATTTGACCTTCATCTGATCTGAATGATTCACCGGTTTTGATTCGCCGCTCCGTTACCCATCTCCTTTGTGATTTGATCCTCCATAACGAATCTCCCTCTGATTTGATCCTCCATAACGAATCTCCCTCTGATTTGATCCCCTATGACCCATCTCCCTCTGAATTGATCCTCCACAACCCATCTCCCTCTGATTTGATCCTCCATAAAACATCTCCTTCTGATTTGATCCTCCATAACCCATCTCCCTCTGATTTGATCCCCAATAACCTATCTCTCACTGATTTGATCCTCCATAAACCATCTCCCAATGATTTGATCCTCCATAAACCATCTCCCTCTGATTTGATCCTCAATAACCCATCTCCCTCTGATTTGATCCTCCATAAACCATCTCCCACTGATTTGATCCTCCATAAACCATCTCCCTCTGATTTGATCCTCCATAAACCATCTCCCTCTGAGTTGATCCTCCACAACCCATCTCCCTCTGATTTGATCCTCCATAACCCATCTCCCTCTGATTTGATCCTCCATAAACCATCTCCCTCTGATTTGATCCTCCATATCGAATCTTCCTCTGATTTGATCCCCTATGACCCATCTCCCTCTGAATTGATCCTCCACAACCCATCTCCCTCTGATTTGATCCTCCATTAACCATCTCCCTCTGATTTGATCCTCCATAACCCATCTCCCTCTGATTTGATCCCCAATAACCTATCTCTCTCTGATTTGATCCTCCATAAACCATCTCCCACTGATTTGATCCTCCATAAGCCATCTCCCTCTGATTTGATCCTCCATAACCCATCTCCCTCTGATTTGATCCTCCATAGCCCATCTCCCTCTGATTTGATTCTCCATAAAACATCTCCCTCTGATTTGATCCTCCACAACCCATCTCCCTCTGATTTGATCCTCCATAAACCATCTCCCACTGATTTGATCCTCCATAACCCATCTCCCTCTGATTTGATCCTCCATTAACCATCTCCCTCTGATTTGATCCTCCATAACCCATCTCCCTCTGATTTGATCCCCAATAACCTATCTCTCTCTGATTTGATCCTTCATCATCCACCTCCATCTGATTTGATCCTCCATACCCCATCTCCCTCTGATTTGCTCCTCCATCACCTCTGCCAGCAATTTGCTCCTTGAGGTGCAGCCTCTGTTGAGGTCTGGTGTCAGGCCCGACATTACACACGCGACAACTTGGATCTTTGCCTATTCCTCCTGAGCTATGACCTTGTCCCAACACAGCAGTTGGTGTAAGCGCTAAACCCGATATATCCACATCCTCTGTATAGAACACTTCTAGCCACAGTCCCTGTCGGGAAAGTGCCTTGTATCGGCCTCTCTGCCAGAAAAGGAACATGTTGTCATAAGGATCCAATTCGAGCAGCTCCTGCTTACAGAACCGATCGGACTCCGAGCCATTCTTTGTGATCACCAAGATCACATAATGAGTATCAGCACCTGTAGGCATACAGAAGAAGTCTGCGAAATACAAGTTAGTAGATTCATAGAAGACTGAACTGAGGGGCAATGTTACTCTCGTGTCTCCGAAAGGTGAACTCCATGGCAGAGCGCCATCACGCAGGGTCACTCCAAAGAACAGACCTTTGAGTCTTCCGTTTAGAGGACAGCGCGGGTCCCCTCCTTTATCTTTAGGGTATTTCTCCATGAGGTTGTCCTTGTTGTTTTGGATATCATCAAAGTAAGCTGATGGTTTGTTGCGGTAGACAGCCCAAACAATCTCCGAGACTCCACCATCACCGTGTTCACATGCCTTCTCCAGTAACTGACATAGGTAATCTGAAATGACACAGAAATCTTGTTGGTTTGTTTGTTTGTTCGTTTGTTGTTTAACGCCGCACTCAGCAATATGCCAGCTATATGACGGCGGTCTGTTAATAAACAAGTCTGAACCAGACAATCCAGTGATTAACATCATGAGCATCGATCCATGCAATTGGAATGCGACGTCATGCATCAACCAAGTCAACGAGCCTGACCGCCCGATCCCGTTTGTCGCCTCTTACAACAAGCATAGTCGCCTTTTACGGCAAGAATGGGCTGCTGAAGACCTATTCTATCCCGGAATCTTCACGGGTCTGTTGAAAGGTAATGCCTGGGCCATGACGACGCAAAGACGGTAGAACAACAGAGTCGATGATCTCGTCGCGGTAGCGCTGTCCATTGAGATTTCCCTCTACCACTATCAAACGGGTCCTGTATTGCTGTAATCCCACCCCATACCATAACGCTGCCGCCCCCGAACCGATCTTCTTCCATGACACAATGATTGACGTAACTTTCACCTCGACGTCGGTACACTCCGGATCTTCGCGGGTCCAAAGCAACCTTATTCAGATACGATACCTATCAGACTGAAGATCTGAGGATCCCTCTACGGGCATCTTCCCGAGGCAAGAGAGTTAACGGACTATAAAAGTCAAGTTTCCACCCTTGCCGAACTAGGCTGGTATTAAGGAGTTACATTTTGGCTGGACTAACGAGTCTATGCATAGTCCAATCGAAATCGCGCACCAAAATTGAAATCCGGTTCGTTAACTGTCATGCAGATTTCGGTCGATTGCAGGATTTGCAAAGCATGGGCTACGACAACTCGTTGTCAGCAGATATTTTCTAAATCTTTTCATGTTTTTAATCAAGGTGCTCACGTGATTTGATGCATTCCGCGATGTAAGACCCGTTTTATCACAATATAGGTCTTGATTATCGATCAGATCGTCCTGACTCGGCGCCACCATTTTGTGGGAAACAAACGCAAGTGATACGAGAGGTGGAATCTGATTGGTCCATAGGCGAGGTTTAGAAGGGACATAACTGGTAATAGCCATTGGTGGCGCTGCGATCGAGCCCAGTTATACCAGCCTAGTTCGCCAAGGGTGGAAACTGGACTTTTAAAGTCAGTTAACTCTCTTGCCTCGGGAAGATGTCTAGGGGTCACATCAGGTGAACATTCCTATCCGCCAATCTGATAGGATTTTGAAAGTTTGAAAGTAATGAAATATGGGTCGACTTTTCCATCGCGGATTCAAAATTGGCTTATTATGGACAATAATTTCGACTGGTTCGGTGCTATTCTAGCTACGCTGTGCGAAGCGACACCTACTTTATGTTCTGCTAGGCATTGTTTTGTATGCATTAATAATTATTACATGTTCTCGTAAACTAAGCCGGAAATAGCTATCAGCTGTACTCACATTTTCTACCAATCTACCGGTGATCGGTTAAAAATACCCAGTAAATATAACTTCAAAAAAATCTGATGCAATGATCAGATGAATTGTATCTGAAGCTATTATTTTATAAGAAATATTATGTTCTAATATCGAATTATTTTACTATATATATTTAAAATAATAATAACCATAAGTGTAGCACTTTAAAACAACTGATGTCAACAGCTTGATATGTTTATGGAACAATTTGATCAGTCACCGTTGGGGCCTCTCGCGACCTTGCTACCGTAAGTGAATGAAAACAAAATGCAAATATCGTATTTAAAAACAACAAAAGTTGTATGAAAATATGAGGCACTTACCTTGCTCTAGGAATATATCCGTAAATATCCAGATAAAGGACCAATATCACTGTGACAATGTAATATTTTAAAATATATCGCGCGTTTTGGGATATTATAACCTGTCTTCGTCTCTCAACTGTCCACGTAAGTTTGTTTCAGGTGTTCCACATAGGGGGCATGTGTCTCATTGGTCACGCCCATATATATAAAATATATATACATATACTCAACAACAAAAGTTCCTGTGACACCAATATTTTAGTGTATTTTACAATCAAGTAAAGCAAGTAAACGATTATTCAACATTACGAAATGCCACGCCTGTCCGAAAATGAGCGTCTGCGAGACATTGGTATGCTTGAAGCAGGGTCGAATCAACGTGATGTTGCAAGACAATTTAACGTCCTCAGAAACACCATTTTGTGTTGTTGGCAACGTTGGCAACAGACGAATGCAGTCAGAGACCATCCTCGGAGTGGCAGGCCACGCGTAACCAATAATCGACAAGACAACTGAATTCGAACAACACACCTACGATATCGATTCCAGCCAGCAACAGTGACTGCAAGAAGCATCCCTGGCCTTCGATGAATATCTTCACAAACCGTACGTCGCCGCCTCAGATGTGCAGGGATCGTCGCCAGAAGACACGCCAGACGTCCCACTTTGACAGGAACCATAGTCAAGCACGTCTACAGTGGTGCAGACAGCGTCTACGCTGGACGGCCATGCAGTGGGGACAAGTTCTGTTCACTGACGAGTCTCGTTTTCACCTCAGCCACAGCGATGGACGGATTCGAGTGTACCGACGTCGAGGTGAACGTTACGTCAATCACTGTGTCATGGAAGAAGATCGGTTCGGGGCGGCAACGTTATGGTATGGGGTGGGATTACAGCAATAAAGAGGACCCGTTTGATCGTGGTAGAGGGAAATCTCAATGGACAGCGCTACCGCGACGAGATCATCGACCCTGTTGTTCTACCGTCTTTGCGTCGTCATGGCCCAGGCATTACCTTTCAACAGACCCGTGAAGATTCCGGGGTAGAATAGGTCTTCAGCAACCCATGCTTGCCGTAAAAGGTGACTATGCTTGTCGTAAAAGGCGACTCACGGGATCAGGTGGTCGGGCTCGCTGACTTGGTTGATACATGTCATCGATCCCAATTGCGTGGATCGATGCTCATGATATCAATCACTGGATTGTCTGGTCCAGACTCGGTTATTTACAGACTGCCGTCATATAGCTGGAATATTGCTGAGTGCAGCGTTAAACAACAAACCAACCAACCTTTCAACATGACAACGCCCGGCCTCATATTGCTCGACTTGTTCATTCTCTTCAACAAAACAACGTGAATGTCATCCCCTGGCCGGCTCGCTCCCCTGATCTCTCACCAATCGAGCACATGTGGGATGAGATAGATCGGCTCCTTCGAAGTCAACCACGTGTTCCTCAGACACTCCAGGAACTTCTAAACATGCCCCAACGAATATCTCACAGGACTTTGTGCGACGCCTGGTCCATTCCATGAGACAAAGATGTGTTGCTTGCATCGCAACCAGAGGTGGACACACGCTACTGATTTGTAAATTGACATTTTGGCATGTTCATGTTTTTTTATGAAATCCCCATTTTCTGAAGTCAGTATGGCAAATTAAACCATTTGAACACTTGCTGGAGTCTTTTATCTGTTGCAATCCGAAATTGTTTCAGATTTGGTAAAAAACATAACTTTGCATTAAATCTTATTCAATGTCACAGGAACTTTTGTTGTTCAGTATATGAGTTTTTGTACAACATGTACACTGCAACCATGGCATATAGCATATTCATTTTTGTAGATTTAGAAACACTGTGGACATTAAGTTACTTGTTTCATATTTGTTTAAAAAGTTGTCCTCAGTATTTATGCATAGCAATGCTGGCAGCAACGTATATCAAGATGTTGTTGTTATCGACACTTTTAACTTTTGACAACATATCCAGGTGAGCTAGAGTGCCGTGTCATATGTTTTAAATGATTCAGATGGAAAGTTGAAAAGCACCAAGACCCATATACCTTTACGTTTAGTGTAAAACATACCAGTAAGCATCGAGTGGCCAGTTAAAGTGTCTGGCTGGTGTCAACGTATCCGATCTTTCCGAGGCAAGGGAGTTCATTGACTCTAAAAGTCCAGTTTCCACACTTGCCGAATTTGGCTGAAATTATGGAGTTATATTTTGGCTCGACAAACGAGTCTATGCATAGTCCAATCAAACTCGCGTATCGAAATGGCCATCCGGTTCGCCAGCTGCTGTGCAGATTTCGGTCGATTGCAGGATTTGTAAAGCATGTGTACCACCAACACAGCGACAACAGATATCTTCTTTTTCTTTTAATGTTTTTTAGTCTAGGTGCTCACGTGATTGCGAAGTAAGACCCGTTTTATTACAATATAGATCTTGATTATCGATCAGATCGTCTTGACTGGGCGCCGCCATTTTGTTTGAAGAAAATGCAAGTGATATGAAAAAGTGGAATCTGATTGGTAAATAGGAGGGACATAGAAGGGGCATAACTCGTAATAGCCACTGGTGGCGCTACGATCGAGCCCAGAAATTCCAGCCCAGTTAAGCAAGGGTGGAAACTGGACTTTTACAGTCAGGTAACTCCCTTGCCTCGGGAAGATGATCATACCCCCACGTCGTGCGTCGTTGTTGATGTAACAACCTCCGACTTGCCTGACCTTATTCAGAACACACGTGAAGATTCGGGTTGGAATTGATTTTCAGCAACCCATGCCTGTCGTAAGAGGCGAGTAACGGGATCGCGGGGTCAGACTCGCTGGCTTGGTTGATGCATGTCATCGTATCCCAATAGCGTAGATCGTTGTTCATGGTGTCAATCGCTGAATTGTCTGGTCCATACTCGATTATTTACAGGCCGCCGTCATACAGCTGGAATATTGCTGAGTGCGGCGTTAAACAACAAACAAACAAGCAATTGAACTTACTTCTAAACACAAGGCTGAAAGATCGCGAGTTATTTCTTAAATAACATGACGTCACTCACAAGACCATGTAACTAATAGTTATAACTAACAAACTCGCATTGTCTACACTTGCATGGGTTGTCTGTATTACATCTTTAATTCTTATAGTTTCTTTACTATATAAACTGGGATCACATACCGAATTATTCATCCACGATAATAGTGGAAATATGGGTGCAGGCTAAAACGGCACCTCAGCAAAACGTCACCGATTTCTCTGGAGAAAACGGCACCTCTATTTTTAATAACGATAAAAACGATTTTTGTAGTAATACATAGGGGTTTATTTACATGGTATTTTATTAGTGGTGTATTTACATTTCCTCTTTTCAGAGATAAGTAAATATAGGGTTTATTTACATAGTATTTGTTAAGTGATTTACATTGTATTTACTCTTTTAAGTAAATAGACCGCCTTCGTGGTCTAGTGGTAGAGCGTCCGCCCGGAGAGCGGAAGGTCCGGGGTTCGATCCCCGACCGCGTCATACCAAAAGACGTTAAAAGATGGCACTTGTTGTTACCCTGTCTGGCGCTCGACATTAAGGGGCTAAAACAAGGACTGGTCGGCTCGGAGTCAGTATACTGTGTCTGAGTGGGGTATTCATGTTAAACTGCGACATGGTATAAATCGGCATCAGTCCGGACTAGTACAAGCAGCCACACAAACACACACACGTACATGCACGTCGCTATATAAGTGCAATAATCTTGGACGCGACGTTAAACCCCATTTCACCTCACCTTTTAAGTAAATATGTTCATATACACATGTACGTAGACATTCTCTGGTATGTCGGCAGAAAGGGGCTCCAGCATGGTGCTTGCAAGTTACAATGTAAGTTTAATATCATTTATTTGACCAAGGTAAAAAAAATACGGTGCCGTTTTCGCTCGAGTCGAGGTGCCGTTTTCCCTTGCGTCGAGGTGCCGTTTTCGCCAATCGGTGCCGTTTTCGCCCATTGACGTTTTGCTGAGGTGCCGTTTTCGCTATAACCCGGAAATATATGCAGGCGCGAGCTGAACGGGTCGGAGGAAGACGCATTACATGTCTGTGGGGCACTCCTACGACACGTGTATGGCTCCAATATACTCCTGAAGTTGAGCTGCCATGTCCTTCTGCTGGCTGTTGCATTAAATAAACATTCGTTCATACGTGTATGTAAAAACGTAGCCAAAATAAATGAACAAAATTACCTTTAACGTTTGCCATACTATTCGCACGAAGGAAGGTGTGTCTCCAAAGTTGACGTCAGAGAACGGTTCTTACGGGGCGACCTGTTTTAGTAGTGTCGAACTTTCACTCTGCGAGAGACGTTGTAAACACGCGCAGATTGTTCTGGAGCCTCGCCAAGCACAACCGCTGTTATAAATCCTGAGGAAAACCGTTACTATGAAGACAGTGGATTCAAGAGCGAATAGCGGAATGCACCGAACTGGGCGCTTAAATTCAGGGAAAACCCAAGGCTAGGGCCTATATATATATATACGGTACAGATCTGACTAATAAGACGGGCTCAGTTCAAATTTTAAAATTTGACCTTCATATTGAAAAATAGACAAACGTATTGGAAACGTAATAATTTATCTACCACGGATAAATATAGACAACAATTGTCTTTTATCAGTCGTTATTTGTATAACATCGCTTTACTGTCGTGTTGAAAATAAAAATATTTTGTGTAAAATAGAGAGGTTCTGGCGAGGTTCGAACTCGCGACCTTCTGCGTGTAAAGCAGACGTGATAACCACTACACCACAGAACCTTCCCATACCTCCGACATGCAAACATGCATCCAGTAGTCTATTACATTATTGTACTCTCGGATTGTTGTTACTACGTTTTTAGATAGAGACATATTTAACCCTTAGATTTTTCACTGCCCTTCACTGTAAACTAGCTATCATTAAGCATCACATAACCAAGTAATCATCCATGATACTGGTGCAAGCTAAACGAGGAGTCACGTGATCGGAAATCTATCACGTGACTGCTCCGGCCTCAGCTCCGGTGGCCCCAGATATCTGAGGGGTGTGTTTGTTGTCAAAATTTTAATATAGATTTAATGCAGGCACATTTTAACAAGTGTCAACATAATATTTGTAAACTATTTCTCTTCTTATATCAGTATGATGTCAACACCAAATGTGCGGATAATACCTTGCCTGATAACTTCTCATCTTTTTTTTAGATAGCTGTAGCAGCCGTTAATAAATTCTGTTAATAAATTCTGGCATGCTTAAAAGAATACATTTTCAGAAATGTTCAGTGTGTTATCAGCCAACATTAGAGGACATTCGGCAGATTATATTTGGTTTGAGCAGAGACCATGAAATAAGTGATAGCAGAGACCATCTATTACATGGTCTCTGGTGATGGTGTCTGGTTTGAGTTCGAGTTTTCTTGATTGCTCGCTATACACAGTCGAGCTGAGACTGGGGACTCGGCAGTGTGGTATGCGGGTCATAAGGGCTGGGACGAGTCAAAATTTACTACCCGTGTACCCACCCCGCTAGTACACGACCCTACCCGGGTACCCGCTGTAGGTCTCAAGAGATAGCTACAAACTGTCCGATTGGGTAATGTTTGACTGTTTCTCTGGCAAAATGTATTTACATACACGTGTAAAACGAACTGGTCATGCATACACGGAAGCTGACTGCATGAAGTTTTATCTTTTTTTTCAAACATATAAAAGTCAGAAGGAATGCGTGCATAGTCAGAAAGAAATGGGAACATTAGTGACATTGAGTTTTAGACAAGTTTTGTCATAAACAATATATCCTGTGACTAACCACGGATCCTGGTAGTCGTGTGGGTACCCGGGTCCTACTCAGTACCCCCCCGACCCGGGTACCCGTCCCAGCCCTACCACTGACCATTACAGATCACCACAACAAGGTGAGGTGAAATGGGGGTTAATGTCGTACAAGTTTATTCAGCCTTCAAATAAGGAGTTGAAGTAGGTTTCTATTTGACTGCAACAGACCAATAATCCGGAAGAGGTTATGCCAATTACGCATTGTTGCATTTGAAGCGCTAAATGCTCCCTTTTTCCAAATTTATTGGTTTATAACTTTTGTGTGTGTGTTTGTGGTGTGTGTGTGTGTGTGTGCGTGTGCGTGCATACGCCTGGGCATGTACTAGTTTTGTGGGTGTTTATAGTGGTAATCCACTGAGATATCATGACACAGAGTAACATGGATACCCAGCTTGGACACTTGACTCAGAGACCAAAATTGTTTGTACCCAAAAGGAAAAGCGCCAAGCAGGGTAACAAGTACCATAATGACACGGTCGGGGATCAAACCACCAAACTTTCACCCTCCGGGCAGACGCTCTCTCCACAAGACCACAGAGGCATCCTGACCACAACAATATAGCTGTAATAAGCGGACTGTGACATTAAACAATATTCACTCACTGTCGTTATTATAACAAACATTTCATCACACAGCCACCTCTGTGTGTGTTACACTTTCTTTACATCATGCTTTTCCACATGAAACAACAGTAGGTACCAAATAAAGTGCCACAGCACTAGTTCCCCAGGATATATAATCAACAGTGTAAAATATATACAATGACAATTAAAAGAAAGTTTCTGTGAGCATTGATATTCAAAATAATTCTGCCCCAAAACACTTAAATCTAGCCTGAGTATGTTTCAATAAGGTTTTCAATGAGGTTATTGTGACAGCCATATTGAAAATAATATTCAGACCCCTTAAACAAATTGTCATCATTGGTGGCAACAAGCAAGTGCAAGCTTCATTGGTCCAGTGTGTCTGATCTGATGACGTTTACGACAGACAAGGACAAGCAGGCCACATCATAAACTCAGTCAGGTGAGCTAAAAACACAATGGTGAGAGTGGCATATATATTTATTTCTCAATAAGCATGTACATACACATACATATCACAGTATCACAGGAATGTAAACACAGATTCTACACAATCATGTCGGCTTCATCGACAACCATGGACGGAGAAGTTGATGGAGAACAACGACACTTTCCCCAACATGAGGAAATAATGTCAGGCAAAACCAACCAGCAACACCCTCGGGATGAGCAGCTAGTGCAGTTGGTGTCTTATTCCGATCAGAGGTCGCAATTTTAAATTAATGTCTAACATCCTGACTAAAATGTTTACACACAGACCTATTTTCCTGATGTGGAACAGACAGATAACCTAGACTATTTGTTTAGCTATGTATTTTTTTATATGTGTTCGAAGCTCGTAACAGTGAGTGAGCAGTACTGAACTCAATATAGCATCAGCAATCTTCAGCTACTTGTGAGAACATCCTCAAAACAATATCAAATGCTTAATCATAACTGATACTATTTGCTGTTAATCTTTTCCTTTACAAATGTCAATGACTTCCATTCCTAAACTTCATAAGTCCTATCTCCAAAAATATAGATCTTTTCTCTTTTACTTGAGTCAAAAAGTTAGAATAGTTTCATGTCAGTGGTTGTCATATATAATGAGTGGGTCGAAAGTGACGGTATTCTCCTGTAACGGGTGCAAGTGTGAGGCAACGCAGGTCTAGTCTGGCAACATGTCATCTCCCAGTTCTTCATCACCAAACTCATCCTCCATTGCATCCTTGCGCCGGGCAGCGGTCTTCGGTCGCTCAATCTGAGGGCCCAGGGGGTCGCTATAGGTCGCATCTAAACACAATTACAGTCATGTAAATCTATGTATCTGAATTCTTAACAAAACTTACATAAAGTCATCATTCCTGCATGACAATGGACATATTTAGCCTGACATGAGATAGCAATGGTCGTCATTTTTCTTTAAAAAAAACACTGGAAGACCAACAAACCTATATCTTGTTTCTGACCAGACTGGTAAGGATTCTCTTCTTCTTCGTCAAATGTCGGACGTTTTCTGTCCCCACGCTGTCGGCCCTTTTCCTTGCGATGACCACTACCACTACCTTCACGATCTGCAGGTGAAACATCTATGTGTCAATCAAATCATCAGAAACTTTTGTAGACATGAAAGCCTATGAATTGTTTTCAGATAACAGCTGGTGGCATGTTTTTCCAAACTTAAGCCAGGTACCAGATATGAATAAGATACAGCTTACCCTTTTAGCCATGTGTAAGCCAAATCTTGAAATTAAGCTGTCTCAAAATATTGTAATGGTTCATTTGATGTAACGAAGCAACAGGAGTTGATGGAAAAAACAGGGAGTCATTTGTTTTTATGCTGTACTCAAGAATATTTCAACAATACCATGGCAACTGTATATAATTAAATCTGGGCCATGCAAACCAGTGGTTGATAGAATGAGCAACAAATCATCAGGATACAAGGATACACAATCAATGAGGTCACAAGTTCTAACTAACCAACTTTAGTTGTCTCATACGACAAACAGAGAGCTGGGGAATAACAAGGATTCACAATGAACTACCCTTAATGTATTCTAACCGATAGAAATGCAGTTACATATGTACACAGGACAGTGTCCTCACATCTACAGGATATATACAGAGTTTCGAGTGAGACACACTCACCACTCCCTGCGCTACCTTCTCGCCTTCCACGACCACTTCCTCTCCGTGTACCACTTGTAGCTCGCTGCAATGATAATTGTTGTCAAAACACATGCATCAGTGAGTGAGTATAAATTTAACATCACATCAGCAGTATCTCAGCCATATAGTGACGAGAACTCACACATGCATCAGCAGATAAAAGATCTAAACAACACACCATGTTTGTTTCATTTTACATCTACAAAACAATGACACAAAATACAAATGTATTATGTTATATGACAAGGTATTGTGAAAATTCTTAATAAAGCATCAAAACTTATATTTCCTGTTCTTGACAACTGGACTGGAGGGACCAACAAGCTGACAGACAGACGTCTCCCCTACAGAGGCCACTCTACAGACAGAGGTCTCAGAGAGACAGACGTCACCCCTACAGAGGTCACTCAACAGAGGTCTCCCGATAGACAAACATACAGACGTCGCCCCTACAGAGGCCACTCTACAGACAGAGGTCTCAGAGAGACAGACGTCACCCCTACAGAGGTCACTCTGCAGACAGAGGTCTCAGACAGACAGACGTCACCCCTACAGAGGTCACTCAACAGATAGAGGTCTCCCGACAGACAAACACAGACATCGCCCCTTCAGATATCACTCTACAGACAGCGGTCTCCAGACAGACAGACGTCACCCCTACAGAGGTCACTCAACAGATAGAGGTCTCCCGACAGACAAACATACAGACATCGCCTCTTCAGAGATCACTCTACAGACAGCGGTCTCCAGACAGACAGACGTCACCCCTACAGAGGTCACTCTACAGTGACTCTACAAACAGTGGACTCCTCTACAGACAGATGTCACTCTACAAACAGATGTCACTCTAAGAGGTCTCATCTCACCTGATCTCGCAGCTCCTTGGC